ATGTTGGAGAGGCGTACAAGTTGGAACTTGGTATAAGGTTGGACCGTGGACGTGTGTGTTGTTGCTCTTGCTTGTTACTGTTGAATCTTGCTATTGTCTTACTTTACGGTTTTAGGTTGCATGCTAGTATCTTTATGTTATCTTCTGGTGATGAGTCTATTAATGTGTCTTAGTCTTGAGCTTGGTTTTAAAGCTAGAGTTGTTTAGGACTATATATGTATTCCTCGGTCTCAAAATGGTTTTCTTATATCTACCTATATTGTACTCAACAGCGTGGGAGTGGGTTACTCAGCATTATTCCGCTGACGGTTGTTACATCATATGTTTTTCAGGTACTGACCAGTAGCTTCGGAGTGCGCTAGATGGACTCGCAGAGTTAGCATTAGTTAGTTCTAGTCATAGTTGCTAAGGCCTGTGTGCCTCAAATTGTATTTGAATTTTAATTATGGATTATGCTTAGATTAGTTAGTTGTAGCCTGTGCATCTAGGTTCTCCAGCCTAGATGTGGCATAGCACCCCGGATAACTTATGATGTTAGTTTCCGCTCTGCTGGGTATTAATGACAGATTCTCCTTTATTTCATAAGCTTTAAATGTTTTAAAAATTAGGGGTGTTACAACTCCACACCCTTATCCTCCGGAGCACCGGATGCTCCCTCCAACATGACCTCCAACATTCCACCGATCGCTCAGCACTCGCAGTGCCATTACATTACATGATCTGTGCCTATAACACAATAATCAAGTGATCTGTGCCTATAGCACAATGATCAAGCACATGTAGTGCCATTACATAACATGATATGTGCCTATAGCACAATAATCAAGTGATATGTGCCTATAGCACAACGATCAGCACACACAGTGCACATAACACAAGCACTCGCAGTGCGTCATACCTCTAACATATCTTTTTCCACCAATCTCGCATCTTTTCGTCGCCAATGGACAATAACACCGACTAAATCATAGACTCAACAACAATCACATCAAGACTCAACACGACAATACAAGTTTAGACCACATGCTTAGACACGAACCACAAATCACGTTACGGCATTTAAGACATCATGCTAGACTCGCGCATATCAAACGAGACACAACGGGGCACGGGGAAACGATCAACGCGGAAAACAACACACTGCACCGCCCATACCAGCGGGCGGTACGGCGGGAGGACAAACTCCCGCTGGACTGCCCACCGGCGGGCTGGCTATGTTCCAGCGGGACTTCCGGCGGGTGCTCAACCTCCCGCCGGCCACCCGCTGGAACAAGGGCCCCTTCCCGACGGGTGGTCGAGTGGGGTTCGTCCTCCCACCAACTACCCGCTAGAGCATGCTTCTTGGCTAAACTTCCCATCCCGGGAATTCATCAATTATGCCCAAATTCAAGTCCAAACACTTCCCAATCCTCAACAACAACAATAGGGGCTTGAACATCAAGAATAAGCCAAGAAACAATACAATTAAATTCTAAACACAAGCTCTAATCATGCCAAGCCTCAAGAATAAGCACATAGTTGTTCAAGAACATCAAGAACCACAAGAACATCAAGACACCATCTTGTAAACCCTAAAGCCAAGCTCTAAACATGCTTAAACACAAGATCATGCAAACAACCACACAAGATCATCAAAAACAACAAGAATAACAATAATCCACATCATAAATCCTAAAGACAAGCTCTATCAAGGCTTAGTCATGAAATCACACATACAATCATTCAAAGGAGCCAATCAATAAAAGATAGCAAGGAAAATAGGTTTTTTAAGACATGGGTTACCGTTTTAGCTTAATTAAACTTCTCACAAGTTCCTAAGATCTTTCCTCAATCGATCCTCCCTAAGCCCGTGATGGGGAATCCTTTGACTATGTTTTGGGAGGGATTTTCGAGTGAGGGAATAGGGATGGGTGAAATGGATTCAAAATGCTTTCTAATCCCCTTTAAATAGATTTAGGATTCCCAGTTAGAATCTGAATAGGTAAGGGTATAGGCTCTCTAATACGAATCTGAAAAGGTAAAAGGTTTAGGATTCCTAATACGAATCTGAAAAGGTAAGAGGACCCTCCTTACTTTATCCAAAATGGCTAACGGGCTTTATTTTAGACAAAGGTCGACGGTCCACCATGGACCATATCAATAAATTAATGGATTTAGGTATATGTATATATTTTTAGCAAACTATTTAATTATAAGTAAATAGTTCTATTTGGATAATATTTATATTTAATATAAATATTTTGGGAAAAGAATAAGAGGTGTTACAGTTACTTAGCATTATTCGCTAACGGGTGCTACTCCTTATGTTTTACAGGTACAGAGTAGACCATTATGACCGCGCTAGAAGAAGACGTAGTTTAGCGTAGCTCTCCTTTACCTCTTAGTCTAGTTATTGTGGCCTGTGTGTCTTTAACTCTAGAATTGTTGACTTTATGTTGGATTTTGGTATTTAGTGCTTGATTTCTAGCATGTGCATCTATAGATTAGATATATGTGGTATCACATTTCCCGATTGACTGTTAGCTTCCGCGACTTTTAATGCTTAATGTTTAGTTTAATCTCTATATCTAAGCTTTAATTGCCTTTGTTTAGTACGTAAAATCGGGAGTGTTACATCTGCATTTGTGTTCTCAATAATTTGGGGTTGTGGTTTTCAACTCTGACAAGCATGTCTTGGCCTTGGAGAAAAGGGATTTGGATGAGGCTTGACCCTCCTTTTGCATAGCTTTGATTTTCCTTTTAACCCACATGGGACACACATATAATGACTACAATAAGTATGAAGCAGACCCACGATATGTGTACATTACGAGAAGAGCCACGAGCACCTAAATCTTCTCATTGCTCCCAGTTCATAATTAGCCTACTAGAAAACAGATCGAGATACTTTCCTGAGACATTGTCTTCATGAAATCTCAAGATAGTGGGGGACTGGATGATGGATAATGGGTCGTTATATCGTGGACCGCGGTCAAAACGACGTTGTTTCTTTAAGTAAAGAAACGGCGCGCCGTTAGTTTTAACGGAGAGTGCATTTTTTGTATGTTAATTACCAACTGACACTACAGTATATCTAAACCGACACTGCCTCACTTATTATTTTTATATTATCAAATGAAACTGCAGTTATATCAAAACGATACTGTAGATGTGGTGAAATAAAACTGCAGTGTATATAAAATGAAACTGAATAACATTTCACATATTTGAGTGTATATTGTACAATGAAGCTGTAATTAAATTAAAATGATCATGTAGTTCTATTTTAATAAAACTATAGTGTATATAAAATAAAATTAAATAACATTTTCACATATTTGAGTCTATAAATATTGAATGAAACTGTAGTTATATCGAAATGAAACTGTAGTTGTGTTGAACTGAAACTGCAGTGTATACAAAATGAAACTGAATAACATAGTTACTTTTTGCGGAAAGGTAGGGAACGGTGGAAATGGATGTCGGTTCGTTTCATTAAACAAAACGACGTCATTTTGATGCGCGATGCATAATCGATTATGCACAGCGGTGCACGATATAATTTGCCATTTGCCATGGATAATATACTAGGAGCGTTATGCTGTGCAACCGTGTGCACCATTTCAAAAACGACGTCGTTTTGACATCCGACTTTAAAAAAAAAATTAAAAAAATCAGAATTACATAACTACACATCCATAACTTCATAAATAACTACACATCCATCATAACAGAATTGCACTAATCCTACACTATACCATAACTTCATAACTATACATTCAGAATTGCATAACTACACATCCATAACTTCATACATGAATTGCATAACTACACATCCATAACTTTATAACTATACATTCAGAATTGCATGCATAACTACACATCCATAACATCATAACTATACATTCAGAATTGCATAACTACACATCCATAACTTCATAACTATACATTCAGAATGTGAAATTATAACTTCATAACTATACATTCAGAATTACACATCTGTAACTTCATAACTATAAATCCAGAATTGCATAACTACACATCCATAATTTCATAACTATAAATCCAGAATGTGAAATTATAAAATTATGCACATATGTTTACGTAACTAACGGCAATCGAAAATAATTTTATTTTATTTAAAACGACGCCGTTTTTGCATCCGTGTGCACCTTGCATGGTGCACACAAATGCACAACATAATTATAGTTGGCCTGAGCCACATGGACCGACCCATGAAAGCAACTGGATCAAGGAAGCCCAAGAAAGATATAGATACGAAGCAACCCAAGAGTTTGTCGATTGAGCCTCTTATTCCCAATATAATTAGAATTGGGCTCATTATTTCTAGTATAATAAAATTATGTTTTATTATATAACTAGGACTCCCAATATGAGGCAGTTTAGAATTCTTATTCCTTGCAGGGCTCTAGGTCCAAAATATGTATAAATAAACCTCTCACATAGAGGAATGGGGAGAACTCTGGGTATTCACAAGAAATATTCATTAATACAAAGTTCATATATTCTCTCCATATATTTTTTCTTATATTTCTCCTATATTATCGTTATCCTCTCCTATATTCTCGTTATTCTAACGATAATGTTGGTCTGCCGTTAACTGCCGAAAAGTCATAAAACCAACATCCTCTTCTACCACTAGAATTGCCTCTTCAATTCACCTAAGATTTGCAAGCTTTACTCTAGGGCTACATCTTCTAATTATTGATATGGTCGACAAAAATCTTTGAACAAATATGGATCATCACAAATGGTGCGATCTATCTTTTATAGAGAATCAACCATTAATCAATAACCAAACATGGATGTTAAGTATATGGATGCTAAGTAATCTATATAATTATTATAATGCCTTCATTTATTTTAAAATTACAAGTAATACAGTATCTAATATGAGAATTTGCAATTAAAGGAATTGGTCATCATGCACTTAACATGTATGTTCCTAGGCCAGATCTAAAACCAAAATAGAATTGAAATAGAATTACATTAAAGTAAGACATTTTTCATTCATTATATTCTTCCTCATTAATTCCTCATTTGCATGGCATCGTCCTCTCTGACAATTGTAACCTGCAACACCATATTATTCTCCATTTGAAGTGGCAGGAACTCACAAATACACCTATCTTCTTTTCCAACAAGGTTCAAATTGCACAGGTTTCTCCACCCTCCAGACAGCCATGTTCGACCATCACCCCAGACAATTACATTTGCTATCCACTCCCTGCCTATCATGTCACGTAGAGTGACGGTTGGAGGTAATTCAAGATTGAAGTCCTTAATGATTTCTCTTGGTATATACTGCAAATCCGATTCAATCCATTAAAACTCATGTACATACGTAAGTAATTGAGAAACAAGCTAAGCTAGACACACATAATGAACAATATATATATATATATATATATATATATATATATATATATATATATATATATATATATATATCATCTTTCAATTCATTCCTCCCGCATCAAGAATATAATAGATTGATATCTAGAATAATTACCAGACTGGCAACCCTTGTTCGTCTAATTTTGGTCACAAAATAAGGATTCTCAGGTTGAATGTAACGTCCCGATAGAAAAAGATCTGCTCCGAAATAATCAGGAATATTGCTTTTTTTCACACTAGCATCTCTCTTGGATCCACCTAATTAAAATTAAAAAATTAATAATAATAATAATAATAATAATAATAATAATAATAATAATAATAACTCACTCATAGAATAGACAATGAGAATTATTAAAACTAACTCGTTTGTGCCATTTCCAGTAATGGATCAGATCAAAACTTCAACGCTTCAACCTCAACCTATCAAGAAAGAAAACATTGTGAATGGAAGTACCAAAAGTTACCTAAACACTACATAAATATCGAATTGTTCAACATAATCTGAATCATGTTATCAAATTCAAGTAATCAGTACCCAAACAATACATTTATATTGAATTGCTAGCTGTAATCCTACTTATCTCATCAAATTCAAGTAATCTTCCTAATCCGTTTTTATCATGACCCGATCCGTCTCACGGAAATGGATTTGTGAGTCGATCTCACACAAGATTTATCCTCATTCGAAATATAATTTAATATAATTCCTAAAATTCAAGTTCATCATAATTTCCAATACATAATTATTGCATAAAAATACAAAAATTACCACCAATTATGAACAAATAATTCAAAACAATTTAAAAATATTTAAAACAATTCAAAAAATTAAAATAATACCAAATTTTTTTAAAAAATAAAAATAAAAATAAAAACTCACAATGAAGAAGGAAGGTTGTGGTGGCGGCGGCGTTGGTAGAGTGGCGACAGTGGTGGACGGCGACGGTGGTAGTAAGGAGGAGTTGAAGTAGAATTAAAAGAAGGTGATGGTGGTAGTAAGGAGGAGTGGTGGACGGTGACGGTGGCCGTGAGGAGGAGAAGAAGAATACAGAAGTGGTGGTGAGGAGGAGAAGAAGAGAGAAGAACAAGAAGAAGAAAATGAAATGTGACAATCTTCTAGATAAAAAATGGATATATACAACCGCGGGGGAAGTAGGTGGGTGCGTCTAACTCACGCAACCATATCACCTATTAGAGCATCCGCATCAGTTGGAAGATTTGGGGGAGAATGTAAGAGTGATTAGGAAATAGAATGTGGGAAGGGGAGGAAAAAAAAACCCAAAAATGATTTTTTTAAAAAATAATAATAATAAACTAATGGCGTTGGACGCCCCACATGGCAGTAGCTGTGCGCGAAACGCACACAGCAAGTGTTGTCTTAACATTTAATTCTCTTCATTGGCGTGGTAGTTGCTGTGCGCGAAACGCACACAACAAGTGCTGTCTTCACATTTATTTCTCTTCCTTAAGGAAGAGAAATAACTCACCATTTGCCCAAAAAAAAAAAAAAAAAACACTCTCTCTCTTCACCTCACTCCTCCAACATGGCATTTCACATCAAAAGTTGTAAAATAACTCCTCATTTGTGTCATTTTCACGTTGCAAACCCTTTTAACGTTACTTCTTTTGCGTAGTAGTTCTAGATTACGTAGTAAATTAATGACACAACATCAATTTTAGAAATCTGATGTTGTATGTCATTTAAGAAATAATGAAATGGCGTCAAATTTTTGAAAAAAACTGACATGTTTTATTTATTGTATCAGTTTTTTTACATTTCTCTTTTAAACAAATAAATAAGAAATAGCGATAATTTTTTTTTAAAATCCACGTCATGTCTCTTTATTAATTTTTTTTTTAAAGATACAATGTTGATTTTTTTTTGAAAAAACAATATCGTATCTATTTATTAAATTTTTTTTAAAGTAGATACGCTGTTGGTTTTTAAGAGAAAGGGACATCGTATCTTTTATTTAAATTTTATAAAAATTATAAATTTAAGGGTCAAACTTGTCTTGAGACCATCTCGGATCCTTATAACTTATAAGTATTGGAATTTTCCTTATATGTAATGTTGACAAGTATTTGTTTCTATTAAGAAAAATATAATAATACTTTGAAATCAAAATGTATAAGTGTTACATTACACAATCACAAAATTATTTAATGGTTTTAAAGAATATATACAAATTTTCAATTACTCTTCAAGAATATATGCATTTGATTGCACTATAAACTTTCTCATATATGTATGAGTTGTACTTTAAAAAATATAGTAATACACATTAATTAGATGACCATAAAATTTTCTCGTATATAGTTTATTGAATATTATTATTATTATTATTATTATTATTATTATTATTATTATTATTATTTAGACACAGACACATTTAGAATATTTCTATATAGATTCCTGCAACAACTATGCACAACTAATAATACTACTATCTTGATTAAATATTTGTAGATTTATATACATAAAATCAACACAAAAGAAAGCACATAAACAAAATCTAAAAAAAAAAAAGAGAGAAAAACTTAAATTTCGGTATACAAACCAATTTACATGAGTAAGTCTTGGTGCAATAAATCTAATAAAAAGTTAATACTTCTCTTTTATGTCATTTTCACGTTGCAAACCCTTTTAACGTTACTTCTTTTGCGTAGTAGTTCTAGATTACGTAGTAAATTAATGACACAACATCAATTTTAGAAATCTTATGTTGTATGTCATTTAAGAAATAATGAAATGGCGTCAAATTTTTGAAAAAAAACTGACATAATTTTTTATTGTATCAGTTTTTTCACATTTCTTTTTTTTAAAAAATAAATAAGAAATTGCGATAATTTTTTTTAAAAAAAAAATCCACGTCATGTCTCTTTATTAATTTTTTTAAAGATACAATGTTAATTTAAAAAAAAAAAACAATATCGTATCTGTTTATTAATTATTATTTTTTAACTAGATACGCTTTGGTTTTTAAGAGAAAGGGACATCATATCTGTTATTT